AACTGCAACAGTTGGTCGAGCATTCAGATCGAAATCATGGCTTGTTGGGTTTATCACTCTAGTTTATATCCTCCAGACTGAATTTCAGATAATAATTTAAAACCATTATAAACAAGAATTAAAATATTTAAAAATTTAATTCACCTTACCACTTGTGCTGCTTTTAGTCGTCTACCTGGTGTTGGACTCAAAACCGAGAGGTTCGGGTTCCAACACCTGGTGGGCCACTCATTTTTCTTTGTTCCAAGGTTGATAAATGAGTATCACTCGGTGTTAAGGAAACAGGAGAGTAAATACCATGCTTGCTAAATAGTTGCTGTCAACTTTGCCTTTCAAATATTGATGGCATGGAAATGGAGATCAGCGCAAAAACATAAAATTCAAGAAAAGAATGGCATGAGAAATCATTTCATCAAGAAAGTGTAAGGAAGACCGAGGTTACAACGGTTATCAACTTTCTTTCCATCTGTTCACTGCGAACTGCAGTAAAAGGCGTATGCATTAAACAACATAGCCGTATGTTTACGCAGTCTTTAGCATACACCACAGCAAAACATTATGCTGTCCATAATATTTGCACAGAACCATAATAGGGTGAATGCCTTGCTCAAGAAACTCAGCAGCTAAAAGAAAATTTTCACCTCGCGTTGCTTTGAACCTGATAGCTCTAGATTGCAACACAAACTACTAACCGAATGAACCGCAGTTCCCTTCCCCCCTACAAGTTCCAAGCAATCATTTATTGACAAGAGAGAGTTACTGACCTTAACAAAATAAATCGAAATTCTTTAGTAAATACAACGCAAATAACGTACTTAAAGTTGAGCCAAGAGCCTTTTCCACCAGGTCTCTCCTAATTGAAATCGTGGGCATTTCCGATCGCTATCAGTCGTTTGTTGTTCGCATTAAATAAGCCTCAAAGAGCACCTCGAGTTTTATATACTGAAAACTAAACATGCTATCAGACTGCGCGGCGAAAAATTATACTTACTATTATAACACAAAGATAGGAAATCGTGTTCTGTGCTCTGTGCAATAATACTGTACAGGCATTCAGATTTCAAGTGAAGACTGGTGCATAACTTACTTTTAACATGAGACATTAATATTAAACATATGGTTTAAAAACAGTATGGCATGAAGAAAGTTGTTCTAACGAAGAAGCAAGAACGACGCCTGAATTGCGTCCAGCAACAATGGCTTCAACGCAAAGTGAGAAACTTCAATGACTCCATTTTCCTTCAAACAGCGGGGACCTCAATTAAACGTGCTGATTAAGAGAACGTTGCCCCTGTGACAAAAATTTGTTACATAAACCAATTACTCAAGCCTTTAAGGTTCATGCATGGAAGCCAGGACACGGCAGCCGTCGATCAAGAGGTCGGCGTGCAACAAGAACGAACAAGGAAGAGACACATCCGGTTTCATAGAGCAACATTTCTCTCTGCGATGCAGTGACCAACGTAAATATAACAACAAAGACATAATTTTAGCATAGACGTTCTGCCTATAAAAACGGCTCAAGATGATCTCAATAAACACATACAATGAAACTCTAAACATTCTGTCAATGCTAACATTGTGCCAAATAACAAATGGTCAGCTTGCCGGCTGATTTTGCTAGACCGTACAACTTCCTATCACTGATGACTCATTGCAGGGGGACATCGTTTCATGTACGGAAACAAAGACGCTTAAATGCTCATACAGAGCATATACCAAATTTATCATCTAGATATATCACCTAGATATGTATGCAAATGTTCTCGCTCCGGCCGCTTTCCATGGGCTATCAGTCTGTAGTTTTTGATCACATCGGTCTCTCTTCAGACTTCACAGACTTCTCTCAAGCATAAGCGGCTTCATATTACGCGATCTAACACTGCAGGCTAACGATTTAGAGACTGTTTATGAAATCCGTACGGGAAACAACATTTACAGAAACTACGTCATATATCTTGCACGTTTTCAAGGTGTTTATATCACCGTGAATCAATCAGAGACAGGCTAATTAATACCTCAATGAAAACATATCATGATCAGCGCAAATCTTCCCAGAGAACCTACTGTTGTCCGACCTTCCTCAATGTAACCGTCAGAGACCAGGAGGCTGCTCTTCAGTGCCACTTGCATATGCTCAAATAAACAGTGTTGTATTATTTAAGATTTGATTCAGCGATCTATGATCTACTCTGTAATATCTTCCGCATTTGTCAAATGGTCAAAATCATGGCGAACCTTCTGTCACTCCGGATTCACACCATCCCGATGCTTCTGGAAGCCTAGGTAATTAACGACGCGGGAAGCAAGCAGGACTCTACACTGAGCAGCTTGCTTAATTCTTAAAACCGTACACACTGCCTACTGAACATAATAGGTCCTTACTAACAAACGGCAACGTATCATAAGCTCAACGAAAAAAGGCCAGTAAGAGTCTCATCACACCAGGTGATAGATCGACTTCTGCCTGTTACAAACTTTTGTATTTTCAATACGATTTCATGACCGATCGGTCGGAAGACGATAAACAGCTCAGCTGAAAACTGCAACTCGCTATGAATAAAATGAAAAATGATTAACTCAGTACGGTAATTACCGCGCTACTGACCCGCACAGGGCTCTGTTCTACTTTTCGGTATCATGTCTGGACAAAATTATGTTCAAATTTTCCAAGAAATGAACAACATTTCATCATAGAGTGTCTAACTGTCAAACTGTAAGTTTCATAAACTCATTTCTGAACGCCTCAGGTGATGGTAAAAGACAGCGTATGATAATATCCTGAAAACATCAGAACTACTCTCTTCTCAGGTTGTTTCAACAGTCCTGGAACTGTGCAATACTGTTAATCGATCAGCAGGATCGTTGTATTAATAAGGTTATACAGTTTACGTTTATGCACAGTAGCATCTGCGCTAAATACTGTTCTTCTTCGAAATGACTTGAATTCGATACATAAATGCACACTAGATCTTTGAGATTTTCATTTGAAATTGCTTACTAAAAAGATATTTCTTTTACAGATGAAACAATGCTTCGAATCATACTGTGTCGATTTTCAGCAGCGTAATGCTGTTAACAATCTATAAGACAGCAACTTCAGACAAGTCAAGGGTGAAGTTATGGGATAATGCCTAGTTTTGTTAGGCAGAACGAATTTAGTACGAGCAATGGTCATCTTGATTTTTTGTCCAAGAGAAGTTTAAAGGAGTTGGGACACTGGTTTTGGTGTAAAGTTTGAAAATATCCCTTCATTTGGATAGATTTTTAAATAGTCTCAGTCTCAGTTTTTTGGTTTAGGTTCATGGAATGAACAACCACTGCTTAACCTGTAGGAAGATCCGCAATTTTCCGCAGCTCATGGCTGTGCCACCTGTGGGTAGCGTAAATCTTAAATTGTTGCCCTGCCGTTCTCGGATGAAAGCTCTGGTTTGGTTTTGATGTTGTGGCTTTCCATAATGTATTTTAAATACCCTTGGTATTATGGCAAAACTGAAAAAGTTTGGTTGGTAGTGAGACATGTGGGTTCGAAAACCTTATACTTACAGACAATTTTATCATATAATAGAGGAAGTCATGCTGGTGTTGTTTTGTCATATTCTCGTCTATCATCTTGCTTTTCTCTTGGTACATTGTGGTTGCCTCATATATAATTTCTTTCGGCCAGTTAGTTATCTTGCAGATAATGCTGCCTGCATCTCAATGTATGAGGTGACATTTCAGCTCACAATGCCCAGAAACAACAAAATTCTTGTCAACTTTCTGGCTGAGGCAAACTATCTGTTCACTAATCCTGTTTTTCAGTCGTATAATGGTTTCTCTAATGTAGTTCTCTACACATGAGCAATCTGTCCGATGTATTCTGCATCGGCATGACGACTCCGAATGAGGAATGCCAGAATAGCTTACAGAATAAACTGCTCCTGTGGAAAGCGATGCATCAGAGAAACCGACAACAAACGGAAGAACCAGATCAGTGAATAAAGGATGTATAGCTATCCGGATTCCGGTCTTCCGCTCGTTTATACTGGGATCCGTGAATTCTTTCGTTTTTATAGGAAACAATGTTTTCGTGCGTCCGATCGACCATTTTTTCCTTCATCCAGCTATCCATATTTCAAACCCCCTGGCACTTTCGGGTGGCAAGATAAACTGTTTAACGATGTTTTTATATCCGTTTTCGTACACCGCCAGACGTACGTGCTCTGTGGTCAAAATTCTAGGGTGCGAGAAAGTCAGGTC